GTAAGTAGGGACCCGGTTGTTGGTCGGTCGGAGGATGGCTTGGATGGGCAGGTGGGGGTCAATTGTACACAGCAGCGTCCCACAAAACAATCATGGATTGAGTGACCGCAATATTATTATTTTTGGGGTGGGATTATTACCCCCGGAAACCGAACCGCCCATCGACTAACAGCCGGGTCCCGACTTACTGCTCGGGAAAGGCGTGCGGAGGAAGGAAACTTGACAGAGGTTTGGCCCGGGAATCGAACCCGGGTCCTCTCGCTTCCAAACCACTGAACTGCGAACCGGTGAGTCTTGCCTCCGTGAGGGTTTCCAACACAAATAATCACATAAAGAAAAACACAGGAACAGGAGGAGGCCATTCAGCCCCTTGAGCCTGTTCCGCCATTCTAGAAGAACACGGCTGATCTGTACCTCAACTACCAATTACCCGCCGTTGCCCCGTATCCCCTGATCCCCTGACCAACATCTATCCACCTCAGTCTTGACCATGCGAATGGATCCACAGCCTTGTTGGGGTGGGGAGGGGGGGTGTGGGGGTGGGGGGGGTTGGGGGGGGGAAGAGTTTTCGGAGTTCTACTACAGTTTTTGGTGAAAAACTGCCTCGTAAATGGCCCGACTCTAATTTTAAGATGGTGCCCCCTTGTTCTGGATTGCCCCACCAAAGGAAATAGTTTCTCTGTATATACCAGTGGTGTCCTACGCACCTCTCCCCCCACCCACTCACCCACCCACCCGCCCGCCCGCCCCACCACACACACACACACACACATCACCTGTTTATTTTTGCTGCTCTGATAATCTGAAACCCTTCGACATTTCCCCAGGGCGGCCAAGTCTTTCATAATAGAATTCAGGGCTTCCTGTTCATCTGTCAACGCAAGGCGGGAAATGAGAGAGGGAGGATTAGAGGTGAGGAGGGGCAAATGAGGTTGGGTGTAGGGGGAATCAGAGGGGGGGGGTTGGAAGGGGGAAATAAGAGGGGAGGGGGTAACAAAGGCGGAGGAGGGGAAATGAGAGGCTGGGGGTTGGTCAATTGGGGATAGGAGGTGTGGAGCACAGGGATGGAGGTATTTTGGGGGAAACGAGATGGGGGGCGCAGAGGGGTGAGGGAGGGAGTGCGGGAGATCGTTCCTCACCCATGGTGACTGTCAACATTGGGGCTGTGTGTCTTGCAGTGGACTACCCTCTCGTCTTCAGGTCCGACCTGTTCAAAACGAGACAAGCGAGAGAGAGAGAGAGAGAGAGAGTCACATCTTTATAATATAATAATAATAATCCGGGCATTTGACACAGCGCCTCATCGCGTCGTCGAGAAGTCTCAAAGCGCTTCACGGGAGACACTGTAAAGCGAATCGGCCGTGTATCTTGGGGGCCAATTGCGCACAGCAGCGTCCCCACAAACAGCCGTGGGTTGAGTGATCGATTTAATATTCTTTTCTTTTCTTGAGGGATTATTATCAAAGCGCGTGCGTGCGTGCGTGTGTGTGCGTGTGTGTGCGTGTGCGTGTGTGGAATAAGGAAATTTGCCCAAGGTATCCCCCTGCCCGGGAATCGAACCCGGGGTCCTCTCGCTTGCGAGGCGAGAGCCCTCTAACCACTGAGCCACGGGACTCCACTTTAAACCCCAGCAAAGACCCAAGTTTGCTGTCTCACACACACGCACACGCACACACACACACACACGCGCGCAACCGCTGACTCAGACGAGACTTACTCACAATCCAAGATCCCGTCTTGGTTTAGGACTGTGACAGAAAAGCGAAGGGAGTTTCTCTCTCTCTCTCTCGCTCTCCCGTTCGTTTTTCCTCGCTCTCTCTCTCTCTCCTCCCGGTGTCCTGGCTGACAATCCCAGCCAGATAACATTAGTCATTCACTTTGTGGCTGTGCGTGTGTGTGTGTGTGTACGTGTCTTGTTTTTTCAGTTAACTGGTGTCTGACCCATGCGGAAACCCATCACCGTGCTCGACAGCAGCCAAACCCAAGTGGGAGCCAAGTCTTGGGGTCACTCTCCCTCCCTCTCTCTCACTCTCAGACACTCTCCCTTTCTCTCACTCTCCCTCCCTCTCTCACACACTCCCTCTCTCTCTCACTCTCAGACACTCTCCCTCTCTCCCTCCCTCTCTCACACACTCTCCCTCTCTCTCTCACTCTCAGACACTCTCCCTCCCTCTCTCACACACTCTCCCTCTCTCTCTCACTCTCAGACACTCTCCCTCCCACTCTCAGACACTCTCCCTCTCTCTCTCACACACTCTCCCTCTCTCTCTCACTCTCAGACACTCTCCCTCCCACTCTCAGACACTCTCCCTCTCTCTCCCTCCCTCTCTCACGCACTCTCCCTCTCTCTCACTCTCCCTCTCTCACATACTCTCCCTCTCTCTCCACTCTCACACACTCTCCACTCCAGACACCTCCCTCTCTCTCTGCACTCTCAGACACTCTCTCTCCCACTCTCACACACTCTCCCTCCCACTCTCAGACACTCTCCCTCCCACTCTCACTCTCCCCCTCACTCTGACTCACACACTCTTGCCCCCTGTCTCTCTCTCTCTCTCTCTCTCTCCCTTCCTTTCCCTCTCCCTCATCAAAGTCCATTACACCTCAACCTCAGGTAAACAGCAGTGATCAACTCTGCAAGAGAGAGAGAGAGAGAGAGATAGAGTGAGAGAGAGATAGAGTGAGAGAGAGAGAGAGTTTTGAGATGACAGGAGGGAGGGTTGGGGGGAGAAAGAGACAATTTGCAGACAATTCCCAAGATGGGGGTGAGGGGGGGGGAGGACAAGAGAGGGGGTGAAAAAAACTTTGCATTGAGCCTTAAAAAGTTTCCCCCCTCCCCTCCAAACACAAATAAAGTCAGTAAATTAGAAATTTACCTGTCGTTAAAGTTGTTTCCTCTCTCTCTCTCTCTCTCTCTGTCTCTCTCTCTCTGTCTCTCTCTCTGTCTGTCTGTCTGTCTCTCTTTTTCTCTCTGCAGTTTTGGTGTCAGTGCAGTTCAGATGATTTTCTGGTGGACATTCTAGTCTGACTTTTTTTCTTAATAAAAGGGGAATAAAAAAAAGTTGGGGAGTGTTATGATCTGCAAAAAAAAGTCTTTTCTCTCTCTCTTTCTCTCCCTCTCTCTCTCTCTCTCTCTCTCTCTCCAGCTCAGCTGATTTGCAGTTGAAAAACTTTTCTCTCTCCACCACCAACACCACACACACACACACACACACACAAAAAAAAGTTTTAAACCACACACCAAACTTTAGAGAGAGTTTGCAACTCCTTTGGTTGAAGACGACCTGAATGCAAAACCTTTCCCTCTGACCATCATTCTTCTGCTTTCCAATCCTCTCTTTCTTTCTTTCTTTCTTTCTTTCTTTCTTTCTCTCTCTCTCTTCTTCTCTTCTCTCTCTCTCTCTGTAAACTTTGATCACTTTTTCCCCCACTCTTTCTCTCTCTCTCTTTCTCTCTCTCTTTTTTTTCTACTAAAACTCAGGCGTCAGTAAATCCTGAGTACCAGGAAACTGTGACGTGATGCACATTGGCTCAACTCAAACACAGGCAAATACACACCACACACACACACACACCCACACACACACGCAACACACTTCCGTACTGCGTAAACGCAAGACATTGTGAGTGGAAACCGCTCACTCACTGTGTTACTGCGCTCCAGAGCTTTGGGCGAAAAAAAAATCTGAACTGTGATCAATTGGTCATTAATGTTCGTTGGTTTCTTAATTGATATGAATGATTAATGTTATTGATTCATTGGGCGGGGGGGGGGGGGGTGGGGGGGGGTGGGGGCGCGGTCGCTTCAGTCCGCCGCCGTTTGCGGGACGCTCTCTGCCCGCGATTCGTTGGCTCCCGGGTTTCGCCCTCGCGGTCAGTCCGCTTGACCGTCTGCTTTTGAGACGTCTCGACCGTGTGATAAGGCGCTGAGTCGGATTATTACGATTGTTGTTATGTTATGTTGTGTTATGTTATGTTATGTTAGCCCTAACTATCCATCTAACTACTCACTCACTCACTCACTCACTCACTCACTAACTAACTCACACACTCACTCACTAGCGGGGAGGCTGGTCCTCGGCCGGACAAGCATTGGGGAAGCTTGGCCGGACAGCGCTCTCGATGGCCGAGCTGTGTGTGTGGGTTTAGATGGTTAGACTCCAGCAGTTACCCCAACGCACACTCTGGGCTCCACCCCCACCCCCGCCCCCCCCACAAGCCTTGGCTCGCGCCGACCTGCGCCTAATACTCTCCGGAATTAGGTAAACAGGATGCGTCCGACCATTTGGCCCTTCAGCCCTCGGAAGGATCTCCCTGTTCATTCCCACTGCCCTACTTTCCCGGATGCACCGCATATTTTTCCTTGGCAATTATTTCCCTAATCCTCTCTGCAAAGATCCCAAAGCTCTGCTGGTTGCTGGTTGAGTTCTAAAAGCCTCCCCCACCCCACCCGCCCGCCTGCCCGCCCCCTCACCCCCCCCCCGCCTGCCCACCCCCTCACCCCCACCGCCTGCCCACCCCCTCACCCCCCCGCCTGCCCGCCCCCTCACCCCCCCCCGCCTGCCCACCCCCTCACCCCCCCCGCCTGCCCACCCCCTCACCCCCACCGCCTGCCCACCCCCTCACCCCCCCGCCTGCTCGCCCCCTCACCCCCCCGCCTGCCCGCCCCCTCACCCCCCCCCGCCTGCTCGCCCCCTCACCCCCCCCGCCTGCCCGCCTGCCCGCCCCCTCACCCCCCCCGCCGCCTGCCCGCCCCCTCACCCCCCCCCGCCTGCCCACCCCCTCACCCCCCCGCCTGCCCACCCCCTCACCCCCCCCATGCAAAATAACTCCACCCTAATCCTCTCCCTTTGTGATTCTGATGATGAATCAAGAATTTGAAGATCCCTTCACGCCCTGACACCTCCCTACCTCTCCCTGACCTCCTCTCCCGCCTCCGCCCGACTGGCTCCCTCGTTCCCCTCCTCCTCTCCACCATCGGCGGTCGTGCCTTCAGCTTCTATCCCCCCCGCAACTCTCTCCCTCGATCCCTCCGCCTCGGGGGACCCCCCCCCACCCTCCCCTTCCCCTCTTTTAGATCGCGATTGAGGACCTTGCTCTTCGACCGTGCTTACGGTCACCTCCTCCCCTCTCCTTCACCCCCACCCCGAGGAGCTGGATCTGGCCTCCCACTTGCCCCTCGTCCCCTCGGTTCGGGGCCGCAGCCCGGTTTGCGCGCAGCCCTTCGTCCCGCGAGCCGCCGCGTGGGGAGTGACCGATTCTATTTGTGGCCGTTTGCCGTCCCCACAGAACACGCAGTCGGTTCACCTCACGATGTTTCCCGTCGGGAGCTTTGAGACGTCTCGAAGACGCGATAAGGCGCCTTATCAAACGCGGGGATTATTTACTATTATTATTATATGTGTAACTCTCTCTGTCCTGTAGCTCTCTCACTCCCTCTATCTCTCTCTCTCTCCCTCTTGTCTCTCTCTCGCTCTCATTTACTGTTTCCTGTCTCTGTCTCTCTCTGTGTGGTTTGTGGCTCTGTATCGTGTCTCTCTCTCTCTGTCCTAATTTTCATTCCCTCGATCTATATCTCTCTTATATTCTGTCTGTACTTTAACTCTCTTCTGTCTCTTTCTCACTCTCTCTTGTGTTTCTCTCTCTTGTAACTCCATCTCTCTCTCTCTCTCTCTCTCCTGTATCTCTCTCTCTCTTGTGTTTCTCTCTCTTGTAACTCCATCTCTCTCTCTCTCTCTCTCCTGTATCTCTTAGTCTCTCTCTTTTCCTGTATCTCTCTCTCTCTCTCTCTCTCCCCCTCACTCTGTCACTCTGTGCAAACAGAGAGTGGAGATTGAGGGGTGAATCAGTGAAGAACGTCACTTCCACGAAACGAGTCAGAGTGAGAATCAGGAAACCAGAGTTTGTTCAGAGAAAAGGGAAACTGGAACCTGATTAACACAGAGAGAGAGAGACACAGAGTAAAGTCACTGAGAGACACAGAGTAAAGTCACTGAGAGAGACACAGAGTAAAGTCACTGAGAGAGACACAGAGTAAAGTCACTGAGAGACACAGAGTAAAGTCACTGAGAGAGACACAGAGTAAAGTCACTGAGAGAGAGAGAGAGAGACACACACAGACAGAGAGTAAAGCCACTGAGAGAGAGAGACACAAAGTAAAGCCACTGAGAGTGAGAGACAGAGTAAAGCCACTGAGAGAGAGACACACACACAGAGAGTAAAGCCACTGAGAGAGAGAGACACACAGAGAGAGTAAAGCCACTGAGAGCGAGACACACACACACATACACAGAGTAAAGCCACTGAGAGACACACACACAGAGAGTAAAGCCACTGAGAGAGAGACACACACACACACAGAGTAAAGCCACTGAGTGAGAGAGAGAGAGAGACACACACACACACAGAGTAAAGCCACTGAGAGAGAGAGAGAGAGAGAGACACACACACAGAGTAAAGCCACTGAGAGAGAGAGACACACACACAGAGAGTAAAGCCATTGAGAGACACACACACACACAGAGTAAAGCCACTGAGAGAGAGACACACACACACAGAGAGTAAAGCCATTGAGAGAGAGAGAGACACACACACACAGAGTAAAGCCACAGTGACAGACAGACACACAGAGTAAATTCACAGAGAAACAGACACACAGAGTAAAGCCACTGAGAGAGACGCAGAGGAGGAGAGACTCTGAGAGAGAGAGTGACAGCAGCAGAGTAACGTTTGAGACACACACACAAATATCGGAGTGAAGACAGAACGAGAGAGAGAGAGAGAGAGAGAGAAATCAAAGACAAGTCGCAGAGAGCCACAGAGTACAGACAGAGACACAGAGACAGACAGAGATCAGAGTAAAGTCAGAGACACACAGTCATCACAGACTGGTCAGGTTTAAGGTCCTTTCAAACTTTTAAGGAACATAAACTTTTTCTTGGTGTCATTTTTCTGCCAAATAAGAAGAAAATGTGTGTTTAATGGTCATCAGCTGCAGGTAAGGATTGGGGAGGTGAGGGGAGCAGGGATGGGGGGGGGGGGGGGAGAGAGAGATGGGGAAAGGGATGGAGAGAGAACTGGAGAGGATGGGGGGTGGGAGAGAGAGAGGGGGGGAAAGATGGGGGAGAAAGAAATGCAGGGGGGTAGAGAGTGAGAAGGGGGGAAGAACGGGAGGGGGGGTGGGAGAAAGAGAGAGGAGAAGGGAGAGAGAGAAGGGATGGGATGAGAGAGAGGAGAAGGGAGAGAGAGATGGGATGAGAGAGAGGAGAAGGGAGAGAGAGAAGGGATGGGATGAGAGAGAGAGGAGAAGGGAGAGAGAAAGGATGGGATGGGAGAGAGAAAGGATTGGATGGGATGAGAGAGAGAAAGGATGGGATGGGAGAGCGAGAAAGGATGGGATGGGATGAGAGAGAGAAAAGATGGGATGGGAGTGAAAGGATGGGATGGGAGTGAGAGAAAGGATGGGATGGGGGAGAGAGAAAGGATGGGATGGTAGAGAGAGATGGGATGGGAGAGAGTGGGAGAAGAGAATGAGAGAGTGAGAGGGGGGTTGGGGGGGGTGGGAGGGGAGGGGAGAGTGAGAGAAGGGGAAGAAAGAGAGGACAAGGAGATGTGAGAGAGAGGATGTGGTTGGAGACCTTGACAAGCGCGGTCGGTGTGTGAGAGCAGAGTTGGTTCCAGAGCTTTGGCCAGGAAGGGCTCAGTAATTTGTGAGGTCCCAGGGGTTCAAGGGTGAGTCTTTTTTTGAGGGAGTGGGAGGGTGTGTTGAGGGTGGGGGTGGGGGGAGTGACGACACCGGTTTTAAGGGGAAGAGGATTAGAACCTGAGGAGAGAGAGTGACTTGTCGGCCAGCAGCGGGGAGAGGAAGGGAGATCACCAGCTGGGAGATGGCGGTTGAGGGGGAGGGAGGGAGTGGCAGGTGCCTTGGCGCAAGGGGAAGGTGGCGTGGACGGTCTGGAGGGCGCGGAAGGGGACGTGGGGGAGGAGGATTGCAGCCGAAGCGGGAACGTTTCGATCTCCGACACAAAGAGGTCACCAAAAGACCCTCTTTCCCACTCGGCCTTTTGAGGGGAGGAGGACGGAGGCAGTTTGGGGCGTGGGCGGAGGAGGTGATAGACCAGGGGAGGGATTTTGGAGACAGCCCTGGATTTCAGGGGGAGCAAGGGAGTCGAGGGTTCAGCAGTGACCCACAAACAGTCGTGGATTGAGTGACCCGATTATTATTATTATATATTTTTTAAGGGGGTCATTAAAGCGATCGGACGATCGACTAACAAGGCGGGTTTCCACTTACCGCCAGCTAAACCGAGGCGTGTGGAGTAAGGAACCTTGCCCGTCGTTTCGCCCTGTTAGTTCTCGTCGCAGACAGGATGTCCGCTTGCACCAAGGTGGACGAGGCGAAGGAGGACGTTGATTACTTCAGCGTCCCCATGGTGGCCCTGAACTTCCACGTCAGGAGGAGGCTGGCCTTGTACCTGAACCCCAGGAGCGTGGTGGCCACCGACTGGACAGGCCTGGCCGAGGAGATGGGCTTCGAGTACCTGGAGATCAGGAGCTACGAAAGCCAGGAAAATCCCACCGGAAAACTGCTCCAGGACTGGGAGGTGAAGAAGCCCTCCTCTGTGGGTCTCCTGCTGCAGCTGCTCAAGAGAATCCAGCGGGAGGACATTCTGGAGGACGTCAGCCCGGATATTGGTAACGCCCGTCAGCTCCGACGCTCCCTCGCTCCCCAGGGTATCTTGTGGGCGAAACGCGGCAGATAATTTCACACAGCAGCGTCCCACGACCAGTCGTGGATTGAGTCGCCTCGGCTCAGCGTTAAGATTCACCACTGTTAAGCGCTCCGGGAATGCTGACAACAGCCACAACAACAGCCTTTCACGTCGGGAGGACGTCCCGAGGCGCTGATCCGGGTAAAGGGCGCTCTACGATTGCAAATAAGAACAACATAATTTTTTCTCGCTTCCCGTTTCTCTTCCTGTTCCCTTGAGAGAGAGAGAGAGAGAGGGAGAATTGACCCATTTTTGCGCGGCTGGGGGGGGGGGGGAGAGTGGGGTGGAGGAGGGAGGAGTTTAATAGCAGCTCCAATAACAGTAATATCAATAATCTATACGGTTGTCGCTTAAATTCAGAAATAATAATAATAATAATAATAACAATCCTTGCATTTGATTTAGTCGCACTTTCAGCCGCTACGCCCGGAAACTCTGGAACTCTCTCTCTCTCTCTCTCTCCCTCTCGTCCTCCACCTCGCCCCCCTTCCCTCCCTGCTTTCAAATGCCGCCTAAAGACCTTCCTGTTGTTTCCAGACGAGAACTGCAGGCGATACCTGAATAAACCGCTCCAGGTGGCCGCCGTGGACAGCAGCGGCCCCAGGACTTTGCCATCCATGGGGATCACCACCAAAGACGACCCTACAGGTACGTTGTACGCCAAGGCCGTTTTCCTGATGGCCATATTTCGGAGCAGTAGTTGAGGGTCTACTGCCCCGAAGGACCTTTTTCTGGCACGTGGCGTAAGGAAACTTGCCTAAGGGGGGGATCGGAGGGAGGAGAGGGGTACATTGAGGGGGAGAGGGGTACATTGAGAGGGAGAGGGGTACATTGAGAGGGAGAGGGGTACATTGAGGGGGAGAGGGGTACATTGAAGGGGAGAGGTGTACATTGAGGGGGAGAGGGTTACATTGAGCAGGGGGGAGAAGGGTACATTGAGGAGGGAGGTGGAGGGGGAAATGGGCTACGTTACGTTACAGGACACTGGGGGTAACGCTGGTTGTTTGTGGGGTCCCCAGGAGCGATGCCGGAGCTGTTCGATGCCTTTATCTGTTACTGTCAGGCCGACATCGGGTTTGTACATGAGATGATCAGCCAGCTGGAGCAGTCCAGCTCGCACCTCAAGCTCTGCGTCTTCGACCGCGACGTGTTGCCTGGCACCTGTGTGTGGACCATCGCTGGCGAGCTCATCGAGAAGAGGTGAGCCCGGTGTGCTGTTACAGGTGTAGTGACTGTCAAGCGTCAGGGGGTTAGGCTCCGCATTCAAGATCCTGGTCTTCATCTTCAGAGTGCTCCATGGCCTTGCTACCCCCCTATCAGCCTGACCGCTCCCTCCAGTCAGTGGGCTCCGGCCTGCTTCACATCCCCCGCCTCGCCCGCCCTACCATTGGCGGGCGGGACTTCAGCTTCTCTGTCCCCACCCTCTGGAACTCCATCCCATAGTCCCTCCACCTCTCCCCCTCCCATGTCTCCTTCAAGACCCGTTTCAAGACCCTCCTCTTCAACCGCGACTTTGGTCAACCTCATCCCCTGTCCTCCATGCCCCTCACCTCTCCTGATCCCAACCACCAGCTCGGGTGCAAATTCCTGACTGTCCAGCACCTTGGGACGTCCTCCTGATGTGAAAGGCGTTGTGTAGATGGCATTTGTTGTTGTGTTACAGGTGTAGGCGGATGGTGGCGGTCATCTCCGACGACTATTTGGTTAGCGACGAGTGTGATTTTCAGACCAAATTCGCCCTGAGCCTGTGTCCAGGTAAACACAACCAATTGTGAGCGGGGAGACTGCCAGCCTGCCAGCCTGCCTGTCTGCCTGTCTGCCTGTCTGTGACAGATATCCGTCCTCCATCAGTGACGGAGATTGTCTGACTATCTGTGATTGTCTGACTGTAACAGAGACTGTGTGTGAGAGACTGTCTGACTGTGCCGGAGACTGTGCGTGACATTGTCTGACTGTAACTGTGTGTCTGACTGTGACGGAGACTGTGTGTGTGTGTGTGTGAGAGACATTGTCTGACTGTGACGGAGACTGTGTGTGTGTGTGTGTGTGAGAGACATTGTCTGACTGTGACGGAGACTGTGTGTGTGTGTGTGTGTGAGAGACATTGTCTGACTGTGATGGAGACTGTGGGATGGTCTGACTGACGCTGTGACGGACGCTGTGTGTCTGACCCAAACAGGGGCCCGGGACAAGCGTCTGATACCCGTCAAGTACAAGCCCATCAAGAAGGAGTTTCCCAGCATCCTGCGGCACATCACACTGTGTGACTACACCAACCCCAGCACCAAGTCCTGGTTCTGGAACCGGCTGTCTCGGGCCCTCTCCTTGCCCTGAGGGGCGGAGGGCGCTGAGAGAGGTGAGGGGAGGGGAGAGAAGGGGGAGGCGTAAAGGCATGGCCTGTGGGGGGGGGAAGGAGAGGTAAACTCGTTGGGTTCTCAACCACGCTGAACTCCGTACCCCCATCACACCAGACTCCATTGGCTCCCTGTCACACGACAGATCCTCGCACTCGTCTATAATCCCTTCACTACCTGCTTCAACCTCCCCCCCGTTCCCCACCCGCTGCCTCCGCTCGGCTGGCTCTGGCCTCCTGTTGGTCCCTCGTCCCCCTCCGTTCCACTGTAGGTGGCCGTGCCTTCAGTCACTAAGCCCCCCCCCGAAACTCTGGAACTCTCTCCTATAGATACCTGCGCCAAGGTACTCCAGCGGGGAGGTGTGTTTGGTTGGACTCCTAGAGTGGAGGGGAGAGGAGAGGGGTGTCGAAGAGGATGGGAAAAGTTATCCCAGAACTCTGCTCCTTGCTCTCCCTCCCGCAAGGCACACTCATCACTCCCATCCTCACCAGGCTCTACGCTCCCATTCTCTAGTCTCTAGCTCGCTCCCCTCAATCCCATCTCCACACCATTGCTGGCCCAGTCCTCATGTCCACTTTGCCCCACTCTGTACGGACCTTATCTCTCCATCAGTGCCTCTGATCATTCTCCTTCTCTATCACATTTGACTCGCGTTTAGCAGAAGTGTGACGATTCTGAAAGGCGAGATAGAAATGCACATTATCAGTTTGCTCTTGTGCGTTTTCAATCTCCCCCGAGGTCGTGGGTGTGTTTAGAAATGAACTGTAGGGAGGGGTGTTGTTCTGTTTCGGGACTCGCATACATCTCTTACCCTCCCTTGCCCGCACCCTGCAGGGAAAAATAATATCGCCTTCGGTTGGTACACTCCTAACCCCAGGAACTCTCTCCCTCTTTGCCTCCGTCTCGCCCTCTCTCCATCTGTCTTTAAACCCCAATTTAAAATCTACCTCTTTGACTATGGCTAAGGTCCCCTCTCCTTCATTGTGAAGTACTGCAAGGTCTTATCCTAGGTATGTAAAGGAAAGTTGTTGTTTACGTTAGTATGTGCCTGAGCTCAGGATTCCTGGGTCTCCCCATCCCCATTCATTGAAGAAACAGTGAGACCCAGTTTCTGAGGCCAACGAAGACGGTAGCTTTTATATGATAAGCTGCTTTATCTTGTAATGAACAGTAAAACCAGAAGACACGACTAAATTCAGAATGGATCTGAGAAACGCTACTTCAGTGAGAGAGTAGTAACCATATGGAACAGGCTCCCTTGGGAGACGACAACAACTTGCACTTATATAGCGCCCTCCACTCAGGGTAGCATCTCAGAGCATACGGTTGGAAACAGAAAATGTCGTTGGTTTCAAGATCTAATTGGATAGATTTCTGCTAGAAAATAATATCTGGGGACACCGTGAATAATTTGGGGCGCGACATGTCAAGCGACTGCCAGGATGGACCTTGGTCTTCTTTCGGCAGCAAATTCTTATGTTCTCTCTCCCAGACGCTACTGTGCTAGTTTGAAGGGCGCTATCTAAATGCAAGTTGTTGTTGAGTTGTTGTTGAGTCTCAACGGTGTAACGTTTCTTCCAACAAACGGGACTGAGAGACTCTGGAAGTCCGGTGTTGGTGGAATCATTTTACAAAAAAAAGCACATAAAAAGACCTTATATTTTTCCCCTTGTCTGAAAATATGCTTTATGCACTTGCTGGTGCTGTGGGAGACGGTGTGAGTTGGAGTGTGTGGGCGAGATATTTATTTGTGTGTGTGCGAGAGAGAGAGTGAGTGAATGTATGCGAGAGACAGTGAATGTGTCGGGAAGTGGGGTAGTTGTTGGTGAGCGAGTGTGAGTGAGTGTGTAATAATAATCCTTGCATTTGATATAGTGCTGCTCCCCACATTGGTTAAATTGTGAGGGCAGGTGGTGTAAACTTGGCACTCAGGCCTCAAGATGGTGCTGTAACCACAGTCGATAGTGGTGCAGTTCTGAGCAACGTCAATCTCGGAAACCGAGCCTTAAATCTGCCCAACGCTTCCCAGAAATTTAAATCCTAATTCCTGGAAAAGCTCCTCCACCATCCCGGGTCAGACGCAACCCATGGCTCTGAGTGACATTCCTTCAAATCCCTTTTGAAGCTTGAATCGCTTCGCGCACTTTTGAGCTCACAGTTCCAGGCTTTCGCTCCAGTCCAGTATCGGAGGGGAGGGGGTGCATTGGTCGGAGTTGATGTCCTTCGGAAGAGATGTTCAGATCCCATGGCGATATTGGAAAAGAGAAGGGAGTTTCTCCCGGTGCCAAAAATCGCTCAGATAAAATGGCGGAGATGTTGACGTGGGAGGGGAGGGTGGGAATGGGGAGAATATTGGGGTTGGGGGAATGGTGTGGATGGATGGATTTGTGGGGCTGGGGGCGGGTGGGGTGGGGGAATTTGTGGGGTAGGGGAAGAATCGGGGGGGGAAACTCCTTTTCTGACCTGTTTACTCCCCAGTCAACTAGCCGGCACCTCCGCTCGGCTGACTCTGGCCTCTTGCTTACCCCTCGCCCCCTCCGCTCCATTATCAGCAACGGCACTTTCAGTTGCTACGCCCCCGAATCTTTGTAACTCTCTTTCGCAATCCCTCAGCCTCATCCCTTCCTTCCCCTCTCTAAGAACACGCCTGAAGTCCTTCCTCTTCTAATGCTTATGATCACCTCCTCCCTCGCCACCCCCGACCCCTCCACCCCTCCCCGATCGACGCTGTGCTCCACCAACGTCAAGCTCACCGGGACTCTACCCTGCGTGAGGGGCACAAGTCGTTGTTGTTGGGTGTGATGATGAGTGGTAAGAGTATTTGTGGGCTGAGGGGAAGTGGTGGGAGGGGAGGCCGTACGTACGGTGGGGGTGGGTGGTTCCTGCCGATGGATTTTTTTTTTTCCTCGCTCAGCCGGGTGTCTTGACGCACGTGGAAACCCGTCGCCGTCGCTTCAGAGTCTCCAAACCTCAGCCGAGAATTCCCCGCCTCCCACCTCCACGTGGAGATCCCAGAGATAGATGGTTGGCATTCTCTCTCTCTCTCGCTCTCTCTCTGGAGGGACGCCCCCCACCCCTTTCACCTAATTCCGGAGAGTATCAGGCGCAGGTTGGCGAGAGCCAAGGCTTGTGGGGGGGGATGGGGGGTGGTGGGGGAGCCCAGAGCGTGCGTTGGGGTAACTGCTGGAGTCTAACCAGCCAAACCCACGCGCAGCTCGGCCATCGAGAGCGCTGCCCGGCCAAGCTTTCCCAGGGCTTGTCCGGCTCGGACCCCCCCTCCCCGTTAGTTAGTGAGTTAGTTGGGGCTTTGGCTGTGGGGGGGGGGTCACCAGGAGCTGGGGGTGGGGGGTTCGGGGGATTCCCTGCCCCCCCCCCGGTGACTGGTCGGCCCCTCCAGGTCCAGCCGATGAGCCGCTTTGGGAGCCAGTTCAGCTCCTGGGAGACCTCTCCCCCACCCCACACCCCTCACCCCCACCCCCAGGAGCACAGTCACTGCTGATGGACATGGATGTCCACCTGGGATCAATGGGAGTGGGGGAGGGGAGGAGCCAAGGGAGAACTGGCCAATCAAACGCTCGGCCGTGCTGTGATGGACGTGAACAGCATCCAATAGGAGCGCCGCAAGGGAGGGGGCGGGCCATGGGGAGAGGAGGGACCGCCCAGACGCCTCCCCCCCACTTCCCCCAATGGGAGCGCCGCAAAGGAGGGGCGGGGGTGTTGGGTGACGACCACCCAATCGGAGTGTGAGCTGCTGCCCTGACTGACGTGGGTTCCAGTCAATAGGAGCGACGATAGGGAGGGAGGGCGGGACTCGGGAATAACGTCCAATGAGAGAAGGGGGGCGGCGCATGGCAGTCAACGGGAAAGGTGGAGCCGGGTTGACGGACGTGGGCAACAACCAATGAGAGCGGCGGAGGGGGAGGGCGGGACACGGGGCGGGTGGCCGTTGGTGATGAGTAGGAGGAGCCGGGCTGACGGCCAATGGAAGCGGCAAGGGAGAAGGCGGGACTTGTGGAGAGCGTCCAATGGAAGCGGTGGTGGGTGGTGGTTGGTGACGGAGAGGCGGGGCCTCAGTGAGTGGCGTGAGCTCTGACCAATTGAAGCGGCGGTAGGCAGGGCGGCACTCTGGGCGGGGCATCCAATGAGGGGTGGCTTCGGATGGCAGTTGGTGATGGGGACGGAGCGATGCCGAGGGACGTGGGCAACAGCCAATGGGAGTGGCGGTGGGGTGGGCGGGACTCGCGGCGAGCGCCCAACGAGGGGCGGCGCTCAACGGCCGTTGGCGATGGGGCGGGAGCGAATGCTGAGGGACGTGGGCAGCAGCCAATCAGCGGTGGCGGGGAGGGCGGGACGTGGGGCGGGGGTCCAATGAGGGCCGGAGGTCGGTGGGCGGGTGGGTCGGTGGGCGGGCGGGTGGGTGTGGTGGCGGTTGGTGATGGGGTGGGGCGGGGCCGAGGGCGACATGACATGGCTGGTGACTGACTGGGCGGCTGAGGCGAGAAGTTTGGGGATGAACTCGTGTCAGTGAGAGACAGCGGGAGAGGGAGGGGGTGAGGGCGAGAGCGACAGCCAGGCCGCCGGCCACTCTCTCAACCACACACCGAGGCTTCACTCCACTCACCTAGGCCTCGCGCGCGCGCGCGCGCCCGCTCTCCCGCCTCTCCCGCCCGCCCGCCCGGTGCCGCCCGCCCTCCCGGCCTCCCGCCGCCGCCATGACTGAGGACACCAGCTCCCTGCCCTGGTCCATCGTCAGGGAAGATTACGAGCTGAAGGAGGTGATCGGTGAGTGTCCCGGACCTCCTCCTGACAGTGTCAGGGGGGGAGTGTGTGTGTGTGGGGGAGTGTGTGTGTGGGGGAGTGTGTGTGTGGGGGGTGGGGGTGTGTGGGGGGGGGGTGTGTGGGGGGGGTGTGTGGGGGGGGTGTGTGGGGGGGGTGTGTGGGGGTGTGTGGGTGGGGTGTGTGGGTGGGGTGTGTGTGTGGGGGTGTGGGGGGTGGGTGTGTGTGTGTGTGGGGGGGTGTGTGTGTGGGGGGTGTGTGTGTGGTGGGGGTGTGTGTGTGTGGGGTGTGGGGGTGTGTGGGGGGTATTAGTGCACAGGATAGAGAGAGTGAGTGACTGACCGGTGTGCGCTGTGTGTGGGACACTCCGGCAAAGCTCTGCGTGTAACATTCTGTGCCTAATGTCTAAGACACTGCGCAGTACATGGGAGGGACACGTGTGTGTATAACATGAGCGCACAACAGATCTGCCCGGTACACGGGAGGGACACATGTGAACCCCCAACAGGTCTACCTGGTACATGGGAGAGACCTGTGCGCGCCCTGTGTCACGCGAGCGCTCTACATGCGCATAACAGGTTTCATAAAGAGGAAAGACCTGTGTGTACTGTGTTTGTGTGCGTGCGCGCGCATGCGAGCGTGGATGTGTATAGCATGGCACACACCAAGTTCAGTACATATGAGAGACCCGTGTGTACGACATATGAAAACACTCCAGGTCACGGGAAGAATATGTGTGGAGTATAATGTATAATCTGGACACGCGTCGGTTTTAGTACACGGGAAAGATCTTTAGTACACAGGAGATCCGTGTGTATATTGTGTGTAGAATATGGACGCACCAGGTTTAGTACACAGGAGATCATGTGTACACTGTGTGTAGAATATGGCACGCAATAGGTTTGGTACATGGGAGACCTGTGTGGGCACACACCAGGTTTAGTACAGGAAATAATAATAATTAAATCCTTGTATCTGATATGGCCCCTTATCGCGCCTTCTTGACATCTCAAAGCGCTTCACAGAATATACTGTAAAATGAATTGACTATGTTTTGTGGATGAAACACCGCAGCCAATCGTGCACAGCAGTGACACAAAGTTGTGGATTTAGTAACCACACTATTATTTTATCACCAAGTGATCCGCCTATCAACTAACAACCGCCTACTTACTGCGAGGTAAACAAAGGCGTGTGGAGTAAGGAAACTTGCCCAACGTTTCGCCCGGCCCGGGAATCAAACATAGGTCCTCTCTGCTTGTGAGGCCGATCTGAGGCATCGTGTTCGCGCTACGCTACAGATCTCTGTATACTGTATGTTTTTTATAACATAGGCAGGTTTTTCGGGCTGGGGAATGCTACCCAGCATATGGGCCGCTATATTAATGCAACCCGTGTAGCACATGGGAAAGATCTGTGTGTCAGCTTGGCTAACTGAGGAACACTCTTGCCTCTTGAGTCAGAAGGTTATGGGTTTTCACCCCACGTTGAGACTTGGAGTCACGGGGTCTAAGGTGACACTCCAGTGTCCAGTGCCGGGGGTGTTGCATTGTCGGAGATGCCGTACTCCGGATAAAATGGTAAATCGAGGCTCCATCTGCCTGTTCAGGTGGACAATACCCTGTGGCCTGTTCGAATAATAAAAGTGAGTTTCTCTCTCCTGGTGTCCTGGCCGGTTATTATTTATTATTAGCAAGAGCAGCTTCATTATATTATGTGCGAGGTGTACATACCCCGGTATGCTTATATATTCAGACCGATATCTCTATAACCTGTGTGGGCATCTACAGCTCTGCAACCTAGTTGGCCACATAGTATACGTGTTTAATTTATACGTACATTGTTAGCAAATCCAGATAGTTCTGTATCTATTCATTCTGTCACAATACAGTACAATGCATGAGATTTAGGTTGGGACCATCAGCACAGGCCTCAGTTGCAGTTCTGTGCAAGAGACCTTCTGAAGCAGTTATCTGTGGTTACTGTATATTGTGTGTGAGTAATATGGGGACGCACCAGGTTATGCGGCCTCTTATGCATGAACACACCTACTTGTGCACTGGGTAATTGCAGCCAGCAACGCAGGCCTCAGTGCAGTATTGTTCAAAAGAAGCTGTTGAGGCTGCAAGTTATGCGAGGTTTAGGTTCATTTTTAATATATGTATATATATGTGTGTGTTTGTATCCGTATGTGTTATGTGTTAATGTTTTATTTTTAGGTTACTTTGGAAAATGATTCTGGGTAAAGAATCAGGAAATGTTGAGGTTGTAAGAAGTGGGTGGTTATTGTCTGAAGCAAATGCCTGCAGTATTAAGTTCATATATTACAACAGCGGCATATCTCTCGATAGTAGTAGTAATCTTCTTAAATAAAACATAAACCTACTCTGGTAGGTGATGCAGCATCAATGGGATGGATATCAGGCATCTGTAAATATTCTATTCCCAGCTCATGTGCAAACTCTTGACTGTCCAGTGCCTTGGGATATCCTTCTGACATGAAAGTTGTTGTATAAATGCAATTTGGCAGAGATGGAATATAAGGAGCAGAGTTATTTTGATGCAAAATGTGTTCAATTAGGGCTGTGTGTCATGTTATTTCATTAGTGGAGGGAGCCAGTTGTTTGCCTTCACCCTACTTATTCTCCTCAACTATACCCTTCTCCCTCATGTATTTGTCAAGTTTACTCTTAAGATAGGCCCCGAAACTCTGGAACTCTCTCCCTCAATCCCTTCTCCTTGCCCCCCCCCCCCTCCACCTTCAAATCCCACCTAAAGACCTTCATTTTTCATCATGCTTTCAGTCACCTCTCCCCCTCGCTCAGCGTCAGACTTCTACACTATCAAGCGTTCCAGGATGCTATCCCGCGTGAAAGGCGCTATATAAATGCAAGTTAAATGCTATGCAAATTTCTTTTTGCCTCAAGCACTACTTCCTTAAGCGAATTCCACATTCTCACTCCCCTCTGTATGAAGCAGTTCCTCCTAAACTCACTGAAAGGTCTACTGATTGTCTTATATTTACATCCGTCTAGTTTTGTACTCCTCAACAAGTGGAAACAGCCTATCAACAAGGACTGGAGACCAGAAGCAATGTTCTCCCACAGTCCAGTGCAGGTTAGAGTGGTCAGATTGCTAATCAAGGACGGTTGATTCTACGTTCAATGGCTTCTCCAAAACAAAAGAGATGAGAGATGTAGAGAAGGGGATCAATAAGTGGTGATTACTGCCGGGGAGGAAGAGTGTGGGAGAGAAACTGTCTGTGGAGGTTCGGAGTCTAGGTTTGAATAATGAAGATGTGAGGATGGGTGAATTCACTTAATTATTCAGGGAGTATATTATGATATTTTTACAGATTCGTAATTCAGCTGTTGTTGGGACGGGGACACTTGCCTGCTAATTCGTTAGCTTCCGAAATGAAAAAAAAATCCTTTTCGTCAGGCTTTCTGATTAGTTGGTAGCACTCTCACCTCGGAGTCTGAATATTCTTGGTTCAGTTCCATCTGAATATCGTCATGATACATGGCACGCACCCCAATATCACAGAGTGCCATCTTTGTGATGAGATGTTAAACTGAGATTTCATCTGTTTCGGTGGGAATTGACGATCCATGGAACCATTCAAGAAGTGAAGGGAGTTTTGTCCTGGCCGACAATCTTCATTCAATCATATCTGCAATAGCTGTCATGTTTATCTACAAATGTACAGTCTCTACACTTGGCAACAGTTGCCTGTGAAGAATTTTTAATTGTACCTGTATCGAATACAGAGTTTTATTAATACTGATCCTTGAGATAAAAGGTTACAAACAGTAATAGATTGCATGCCTGTTTCTGCTGATTGCCTGTGGATTCCACTGGCCAATATGTGCCTTGTGATTTCAGCAAGTGCAAATCATCCTTGCTTTTGATATAGCAGTTTACCGTATTTGGAATTCTGCTATCGTGTCGTGGAATTGGTTAGCTTAGTGGTTAGAGCGCTCGCCTTGCAAGCAAAAGACCTGTGTTCGATTCCCGGCAGGGCGAAACCTTGGTCAAGTTTTCTTATTCTACGCTCCTGATAATTATCTCTCAAGAAAAAAAATAAAATAACGATTTGGTCACTCAATCCACGACTGTTTGTGGGATGCTGCTGTATGCAATTGTCTGCCGCATTTCGTCCACAAATAGTCAATTCAGGTTACAGTATATTCTGTGAAGCGCTTTGAGTCGTCTAGAAGATGTGAAAAGCGCTATATCAAATGCAAGGATTATTTTTTATTATTGCGTCATTGATACGTCTCTAAGAACTTCACAGGATTTTTCTGCAAAGTGTAGTGGCTGTGTAACAGTAGGCAAATATGTGAAATTATTACATTTAGAGATTAATTAGATTATTACAGATTAGGGATTGTTATTAGATTTTGAAAGAGATGCGTGGAAGGAAACTTGTGGGGAATTGGATGAGTAGCTGGACAGATTGATTTGCCTGTTGGTATCTGAAATTGTTACTGAGTGATCAGCGGTTGTGACCTGACAACTGTGAGAGGATTGAGTGGTGATCCACAGGTGATGGCTAGAAAGAATGTTTTTCATCCGAACTGTCACGTAAAAGAAGCGGTTAATTTATCCAGCTCTTCGTAGGAGTGATTCAGTCAGCTGGCTCTTGGAAATATTCATGACTCTATAACTGGCTATGTGTTTGGGTTTTGATCAAGTCAATTCTGTCGAGCAGACATCACGCCTGCAGTGGATTCTACTGCTGCATATGAGCCTTGTGATTTCATCAGTCATTACGAAGGCTTTTTCATGTGACTTTTAGAACATGTGTTAGCCGGGCGCAGTTGGTCCGATTCTCTGTTCAGATGGATGTTAAATATGGCATGGCACTATTTGAAGAGAGAAGGGCGTTTCTCTTTGTGTCTTGGCCAACCATCCTTGCATTCGATCTATCGCCTTATCACGTTGTTGAGACTTCTCAAAGCGCGCTTCACAGAATGTACTGCAAAGTGAATTGACTGTGTATT